ACATTTCTCAACAGTGCGAGAAGGCAACTGTGGCCCCCAGGGAAGGCCGGTGGAGGGGGCCGGTCGGCTACCTTTGGGCACGGCTAGGTTCGTCCACACTTGTAAATGGCGGGGAAGGGCTTGTGCTGGTTTTCCTGCAGCGGCGAGGCAGCAGAGGGATGCTCTGGCTTCAGGTGTGGAGGAGAACTTTCCTGGAGCCACGTTCGCGTTGCTTCACGGGGCGCTCGGGGATCTAAGTGGCCGAGGTGCTGGAGCGGTCCTTGTTATTAGGGGTCCCTTGCGGGGAGCTGCGGTCTGAGGAGCCGCGAAGCTGGCAGGTCCCTACTGGCTAGTGGTCTCCAGGGGCAAAGGCAAGGGGGGGGGGGACCGGTGTTTGAAGACAGCGCAACTTTCCCCTGTGCCCAAATGGTTACCTGAAACGCAAAGGGACAGAGGTCGAGGCTCCCCCAGGCATGCTTTGGGGCAAAGAGCATCTGGGAGAAGTTGGGAAAGCTTAGGATTGGGTAAGAGTTTCGGTTTTCCCTGCTAGTGCATTACAGGAGGCGGCAGGAGAGGCTACCAGCCTGACGGAGCGGACCCCCATTTCCCAGCCACAGCTGCAGGGGTGGGGGGCAGGCCACCCCGCGATTTGTTTGGTGTGTTTGGAAGACGGGCATCTAGGGTGTGGGCTTCCTGTGCCCTTGACCTTGGGACCTGTGTTGCCCCTGCCGGGTGGCCGTTAGCATCTTAGTTCCAGCAGCAGCCAGCTCCCTTTGCAACAGTCAGCTTGGGAATGGCCTCCACTGAGCAGGGCTGGGTCCCAGGGATGAGCTGTTTTTATCGAATTTTGTCAACAACTATAGCCCTTCTTAATTAAAAAAAAAAAAAAAGATTGTATGTGCTCAGCTAAATTGGAAAAGAAAAAGATTTGTCTTTATTTTACTTTTCACCAGAAGCATCTTTAAAGCACCTCCTTGAATAATGAGGGCAACACTGGGTTGGGAACAGGCGTGTGCTTTCTGCCACTGTCAGTGGTGTTCTCGGCCTGGTGGCCTTCTCTCTCTGCAGCTGGGCTTGCAGATTGCTCTGTGATTGACACTGGGTGCTTGCACAATGGACTCCCACATGGCCAACTGCAGTTCGAGTCCCAAATCCAGGAGCGAAACTCCTGCCAGGTGTCTGTGCGTGCGTGCCCAAAATCCTGAGAGGAGAATGGAGGAGAAGGGATTGAGGTGTGGCCATCTCCCTGGGGGCTGATTTCTCATTTTCCCTCCCTCGGTCTCTCCCTGTCTCTCTCTCATGAGCACAGGCACCTTATGGCAAAAACTTAAAAAAGAAAAAAAAATTAAAAAAGAAAAGAAACCCAGGATTCTGAGCATTCCGGGTTATGTCAGGGTGGTGTGAGGATGAGTGACCCCCACAGCAGTGTGGTTGGTGGAAGGCCAGGAGACAAGGCTGCCCCAGTCCCCTGCTGGCCGTGAGCTGTGGGCGAGTTGCTTAACCTCTGGTTTAGTCGGCTCCTCTGTGAAATTAAGTGTTGGATTAAGCCCTTTACAATCCTCCAGATGCCATCAGGGTCATGCTCGAAACCATGACGGAAAATCTTCAAGGAAAATAGACATTCTCAGTGTGCTCCTCGAGGCCGTGGATAAGCTTTTGAAATATATTGGAGAGATTTCTTTTTCATCTCAAATAGCTGTGTGCTTCTCTTGGTTTGTTTTCCATGTTTTCGTTCAGAAGAGGAAATCCTGCATCGATTCAGGAAGCTCAACCATCCAAAACAGCTCAGTGGTGCTCTGAGTTCTGTGTGGCTACTATATCGCTGCCTTTGGTTTCGATGAAGATCCAGTTCATTTTGGGGCTTTCAAGTTCTGTCAGAGCAATGGAAGGAGCCACAGTTCTGGCGTCAGCTAACTGAAGTTATAGACCTAATGTATTTGGATAGACCTGAAGTTTAAGATATTAGTCATGCGAAGGGGGCGAGTTGGCAGAGTTTATAAATGGGTAGGCCGACCGCATTCCGAACGCCTCCCTGGGCTGTTCCACTTCGTCCGTGCACCATCAAGGAGGAGGTCTCTGTGTCCTGGCTTTGGAGACGCAGGGCTGAGGCTGGAAGACCACAGTGCCTGCCAGGCTCTCCTTTCACATAGCCAAATCGAGTTCAATATCTAGATTATAAACGGGTCCCCTTTCTTCCACAAAGTGCTCGAGTCCTTCAAAACAAGTCCATGACGCATGGCACCCAGATCACTTTATAACCTGCAGGAAAGCCTGCTGTTACTTTGTGACTATCCTGGTCCTCTGGCCAAGGTGCCATCTCGTTTCTGGTGACAGGAGCTGCAGTCAGCCAGGCAGGCAGTGGGGAAGCTGGGCCTCCGTTTGTTGGGAACGGTTCTTCAGCCTCTGCATGTGAAAGTTGAGAAATGGTCTCTTAACTCTCTTCTGTCCTCCTTCTTACGACCTGGAGCGGCTCCGGGAGGCTCTCTCCAAAGCTAATGCCAAGTGCAGGGTCGTTTCTAGCCAGTGCCCACGTGCGTCCCCTGCTCACGGCAGTGCAGTGGGTTTCTCACCTTCAAACCTCCTGACACAGACTCTCCGAGTGCGCCAGCCTGGCCTGGTTGGCAGAGCGGAACACAAGGTAATGCAGATGCCAGTCAGAGTCCTGCTCCCAGATGTGTCACTTCACCGAGACGTTAAAGCTGTTGTAGGGTTTCTAAGTGCTTGTTAGAATGCCATGGTTGGGCGGGGACTAGCAGTTAGCGTAATGGCCGGGGACCGGCAGTTAGCGTAATGGCTATGTCGCTGGACTCCCACGTAGTCGACTGCGATGCAGTTCGCATCCCGGACCCAGTGGCTTAAAACTCACGCCGGGCCACGCCCCCCCAGGGGGGCAGTGATTTCTCGCTTTCTGTCTCTCTGTCTGTCTGGCGAGTGCACACGCCCTGTAGCAAAAACCTCTCCAAAAAAAAAAAAAAAAAGAATGCCATGGTTGGGCGAAAAAAAAAGGTCACACTTTTTCCTTCCCAGGTCATTTTTCTTCCAGAATAAAGAACAAAACAAAAGTTTTGTTTTTCAAAGGATGTGACCGTTGCATTGAGGAGAGTGGCGGGGTCGTCCCTGTGCCTCACGCGTTTCTGCTTTGATTTTCACCTGTCCACCTCAGGTGGAGGCCAGCCCGGTGGCATCTCACAGGCACCGGTGCCCCCATCAGCCTCTCCTCCCTGGCGATTCATTCACCGTGCGATTGCATGGTGTGGATGCTGGAGAAGGGAGGTGAGCTGGGCCCAGGTTCTAGTGTGGGCTGGGCCTCTGATACAATATGGTGCCGTGGAAAGATCTCAGTTTTACGCTGTTTTTATTTGTAGTATTTGTGCTTTCCTTCTTTTTTGTTAATCAGCCTCATTGGGAGAATGTCTGTTTTATAATTCCTTCGAAGACCCAACTGTTAATTTCACCTTTTTATTATTTGTACAGTTTGGTTTGTTGCGGTCCCCTTCCCCCCAGGGTTTTTGCCATAGGACATATGTGTTCGCAGAGAGAGGCAGAGAGAGAGACAGTGAAAGAGAAAGTGAGAAATCACCTCCCAGGGTAGATGGCCATGTCACAATCCCTTCTCCTTCATTCTCCTCCTGGGATTTTGGGCAGACATATACACACATCCAGTGTGATTTTCAAATCAGCAGGTCTGGGACTCGAACCATGGTCGGCCATGTGGGAGTCCAGCACCACAACCACTGTACACCACCTTCTGGCCCCTTAGGTTACATTCCTAGCTCAATTATTTCCAGCCTTTCTTCCTTCCTATCATAAATATTTATAGCTACAAATTTCCTTCTACAAACTTTATTAACTGCACCCCAACAAATTCTGAAATGTATATTTTAGTTATTATTCCATTCTTAGTGTTTTGGACGTTCTTTGTTATTTCTTTGTTGACCCATCACTTATCTAGAGCCTTGCTTTTGAGTTCGAATAATGCTCGCGTTTTTGTCTCTGTATTGTCAGCTTCACATTTAACTGCAGAGTAATCAGAGAATGTGGCCTGGATAGTGCTGATTCTTTGGATTTTATTGAAACTTGCATTCTGGCCTTGTAAGAAATCAAGTTTGTAAATGTTTCATATGTGCTGGAGAGAGTTGGGCCTTAGCTAGAGGAAGCAGGGTCTTATAGGTGTTTACTGGTTGAAGTTTGTCGGTCGTAATATTAACATATTCTAAAACATAGGTAACTTGACCTCTGTTTGATCTAGCAGTTGAGGAAGAGTAATGGAACATACTGGGGCTGGCTGTAAAGTGCTGCTCCAGAGAAGCCAGATCCACATGGCGACCATGTGTCACATTGCAGCCTGGCCAGCCTGAAATACACTAGGCATGCCTGTTA